CAGAGTATAGATATCTACCCGCAGCCGAAGCAGCTCCACCCAGTCGGGGAGCTCAGCCGCGTCGCCAAACTCCGTACGCCAGGCGTCGCTCAGACGGGCGAAGCAGCGGGACTCTGCGTGACCCAACGTCCCGCAAGGCTGACCAGTCCGAGCACCAGTGCGAATGACGTACGGACAGCGAGCAGTACCCCGTGACCCGTCACGCTGAGCGTACCACTCACGAAGCTGCTGGGGCGAAAGGACTGCTCGCGGACGACGCTGAAGCTGCACCTGGCCACTACAAGCAGCTGCCGAACTACTCACTCCAGGACGACTCCCACTACGGCCACCCCGACAACCCCAACTAGCGTACCACGCACGAAGCTGTTGGGGGGTGAGGGACTCACGCGGGCGACGCTGTAGCTGCACCTGGCCACTACAAGCAGCTGCCGAACTACTCACTCCAGGACGACTCCCACTACGGCCACCCCGACAACCCCAACTAGCGTACCACGCACGAAGCTGTTGGGGGGTGAGGGACTCACGCGGGCGACGCTGGAGCTGCATCTGGCCACGCCAGGAGCAGCAGTAGCAGTAGAAAGAGCAGCAGCAGTAAGAGCAGCAGTAACAGCAGTACGGGCAGGGCAGTGCTCACCAGTGGCGCGAAGGGCAGGCGTACGACGGCGGCAACGGCGAGGCCGCTACCACTGTAGAGCGAGAGCTCCGCGGCAGCTGCAGGGGTGGCTGCTCCAGGGGCGGCAGTTGTAGGGGCGACTGCTCCAGAGGCGGCTGCTCCAGGGGCGGCTGCTGCAGTGGCGGCTGCTCCGGGGGCGGCTGCTGCAGTGGCGGCTGCTCCGGGGGCGGCTGCTGCAGTGGCGGCTGCTCCAGGGGCGGCTGCTGCAGTGGCGGCTGCTCCAGGGGCGGCTGCTGCAGTGGCGGCTGCTCCAGGGGCGGCTCGGCTGCTGGGCGACTCGGCGGCTCAGCTGCTGGGCGGCTCGGCGGCTCGGCTGCTCGCTAGGGGCGGCGACGGGGCCGGGTAGGGGCAGCGACGGGGCCGCTAGGGGCGGGGAGCGGCGACGGGGCCGCTAGGGGCGGCGACGGGGCCGCGTAGGGGCGGCTACGAGGCCGCGTAGGGGCGGCGACGGGGCCGCGTAGGGAGGGAAGCGGCGACGGGGCCGCGTAGGGGCGGCTACGAGGCCGCGTAGGGGCGGCGACGGGGCCGCGTAGGGAGGGAGGCGGCGACGGGGCCGCTAGGGGCGGCGACGGGGCCGCGTAGGGGCGGCGACAGGGCCGCGTAGGGAGGGAGGAGGCGACGGGGCCGTTAGGGGCGGCGACGGGGCCGCGTAGGGGCGGCGACGGGGCCGCTAGGGGCGGCGACGGGGCCGCGTAGGGGCGGCGACGGGGCCGCGTAGGGAGGGGAGCGGCGACGGGGCCGCTAGGGGCGGCGACGGGGCCGCGTAAGGGCGGCGACGGGGCCGCGTAGGGGCGGCTACGGGGCCGCGTAGGGGGGAGCGGCCGCTAGGGGCGGCAACGGGGCCGCGTAGGGGCGGCGACGGGGCCGCGTAGGGGCGGCGACGGGGCCGCGTAGGGAGGGGAGCGGCTACGGGGCCGCTAGGGGCGGCGACGGGGCCGCGTAGGGGCGGCGACGGGGCCGCTAGGGGCGGCGACGGGGCCGCGTAGGGGCGGCAACGGGGCCGCGTAGGGAGGGAGGCGGCAACGGGGCCGCTAAGGGCGGCGACAGGGCCGCTAGGGGCGGCTACGGGGCCGCGTAGGGGCGGCAATGGGGCCGCTAGGGGCCGCAAGGGGCCTGGAAGGGCGGCAACGGGGCCGCTAGGGGCGGCGACGGGGCCGCTAAGGGTGGCGCGAGGGGCCGTGAGAGGGGCCTCTAAGAGAGCTCGACAGAAGGGCGGCCCACAAGGCGCGCCTCGGGCAGGAGCGACTGTCGCTCCGGTCAGAAAAAAAGGTTTCAGTGGTGGGCCCAAGGAAGCGTTCCCACTAGGGAACCTGCTCTATACCATGAGAAGAAATGAGGAATGAATTGACTAAGGGAAAGTTGGGTACAAAAGCAAACCCTAGAAAACTGTACCCCATATGTGCTACCCCACTATAGCCTACAGTAGCTATGTCATATAAATCTGACAGTGAAATCCACTTGAGCACCACCTCCGGAGATGGTTTCTTAATGTTCCCTGCACCACATACACGGGGGTGGGAAACACGTGGGTCCACAAGTAGGCAGACATACAGACGAAGCGGTCATGGGAGAACACTTTTGCGTACCTGCGGGTGTCAGGATGTTCATGCCGTCCTGCTCGAACCAGGTCTGGTACTGCTGCCGAACACTCGCCTTGAAGCTTTTGTTGACCGACACATCGAGCGGCTGCAAGTCTGCCGTGCATCCCGCTGGGATGACCGCCGGCACGATGATGAGTTCCGCGAACTTCGCCTTGACTTCGGGTGTCAGGTGTCCACGATAGGAGTCGAGCACTAGCATGGCGCTCCGGCTCTGCAATCCGAACTTCGGTTTCAGGAACGGCACCACGCCTGCACCGAGCCACTCGATTACGCCCGAGGCCTCCATCCACCCGTTAGCTTGGCAACCGACCACGACATCTGCATACAAGCAAGCCGTGGTTAGATTTTACTTTTGTTTTTCCCCTCGGAAACACGCGCATACGCAGTTTCTTACCGTTCGGAAAGTCACCCTTTGGGAGGGTCTTGCGCTTGAAAAACACCCACGGCTTCAACTTCTCGCCCGTCGCCGTGCACGCCAGCATCACAGTGACTCTCTCTTTTTGGTAACCACCACTGCGGATGGGCACCGACTTCACGCCCGTCTGCTCCACCGTGGTAGTCGCCGTCATCTCCAGCCACAAAGGCGTCTGGTCGGCATTGATGATGTAACGATTGTCGATGTCGTAGTCGTGGCGTGCGTCGCGGATAAACTGCCAAAATTCCTTGCACTGCTTGGCCACGTCTGCGCACGGGGAGGGAGGAACGGTTACAAGGGCGGATGAGCACCGCTACAGATAAACAAACATGGGCAAGAAAGTACTGAAATACAAGATAAAATTTCACGATAGGATGACTGTGCACGGACAGGCACTTACGCTGCTGTGTCTTTTGCGCCACCTTTGTTTTCATGCGCACGGTGAGATTCCACCGCTTGCGGAACCGCTCCGTCCAACGCTGACTCGCCTTCCACTTGACGTTCGGGAACAACACCTTCATCACCTCTTTTGACCAGTCTTGCAGCCGGCCGACTGATACTGCCACACCGCGGCGTCGCCAGTCCAGGAGTTGGGCGTACACCTTCATCTCCATGGGTCTGTACCAGGAAGACCTTCCGCGCCCATGAAGTCGACACCGAGCACTGTGTGCAGCCTTGAGCTCCTCCGCTTGGTTTTTCCACTCTGTGAGGCATTTGCGGTGTATGCCGGACTCCCGCGCGACCTCGCTTATCGATGCAGCAAGCTCCAGCCGAACGAGCCACTTCAGTTTCTCCTGGGCGGTGTAGCGCTGCCGTTTGTGTTGAGTCGGCTTGTGCCTGGGAGAGGGGGGGCGGGCATCTCGGTTCTCAGAGGAGGGGTGGGGTCGTTTTTTTTTAATCGACGGATACGTTGGTATCGGCATCTTCTCGCGTGGTGCGTCGCGCCACCAAGACTCCACACCGTCGTCGTCCGCGTCTGTAGCTTCACGATCTGGGAACACGTCCTCCTCGGCGCCCTCTTCACTGTCGACTCCACCGTCGCCTCCAGCATCGCCGTCGCATGTGGGTTGTTTATCGGCGGCCACGTCATCGTCGGCGCCCACAGCCGACTCGTCCCACGTGCAGGCTTCAGGATTTCCCCACCGAGGTGCAGTCGGCGGACCATTGAGTTGCCTAGCCTTGGGTGTGTCCGGTTCAGACAACCACTCGTCGAAAGTGGCAGGCAAATATAACTGGAGCACGGGCCGATGGTGACCCCACACGTCAGGAACAGGAGGAGTCGGAGGATTCGGAGGAGCGGGAGGAGCAGGAGGAGCAGGAGGTGCAGGAGGAGCAGGCGGAGCAGGCGGTGCAGGGGGTGTAGGTGGCACTGGAGGCGCTGGTGGCTCACGTGTATACCACCCGTCCGAGGTTAGTCGCCAGGCGCGGGTTGGTTTCTTCTTGAAAAGGAGGTGCGTCCCACTGAATTCCGCCATGGCTTTGCCAGCCAGGCGGGCTAGACTAGAAACTGAATGAAAAAAATGAGGAGGAGGGTGCAGAAATGGGCAACGACGGGGACCCCTGCGGGCTAGCGGCTCGGGGTCCTCGTCAATGACAGGCAGGAAACCCCCGCCTACCCCCGTAGAGGAACCTGCGTGGCAGCATATTCGCTGCGCTGGCAGGGAATCTTCCCCACCCTTCGAGAGGGTTCGGAAGAAATGCAGATGCCACGCAGCGCATGCGGCTGTGATTGGGCCGCACGGCAACATCCCCGTCACTCCTGTCACGTTCGATGGTTCTAGACAACTTTGTGCGGTGGGAAACCGAACCGCAGCTGTTTTTGCCTGAAAACCATGCACGATCCCACTTGTTGCATGGTCCGTTGGATTCGCCTTATTGCGGGCTTCAGTTTAGTATGTTTAAAAGTGAATTTCATTTTTTCCTTATTATAGGCGCATGCGCGTATACAGACACCTCAATTAGAAGCGCACCCCCCCAAAAAACACTGTTTTATTATAAGCGCACCTGCGCTTTTATCCGGGGTAATACGGTACGGTCGTTAGATGGGCGCATGAACTCAAACTTGGTTATGGATTAGATGAACAGAACATCCAACCATACATCCTCCAGCCCACAAACACAAACAGAAACCTAAGAACACAACCACAAACATTCAGAAAAACCTACCTTCCAGTACCGGTACCATCAGCTGCACTGTTCGACTGCACTCCTCCAATCTTCCATCATAGCTGCTTATTCGCATCTAACTGTGGCATTCCTAGCAATGGAGCTGGGAAGTGCACACGTTGTGCGCCTGGCGCAGGGCAGGAGCCTAGGCCTTGGCATCCTTGGCATCGGAGGGGCCTGCCTTGCGGGGGCTGTTGTCGGGCTTCTTGTTCTTGCCAGTGATGCGATCACGAATGTTCCTGAAGAAGCTCTTGATCGCATTCGCCGTCCTCTTCAGCACCCCCGGCTTCTTCTCCTCCTTCTTCTCCTCCTTCTTCTTCTCCTCCTTCTTCTTCTCCTCCTTCTTCTCTTCAGTCTTCTTCTCTTCAATCTCGTCTGCCAGCTTGCGTGAAAACTCAACCCCTTCCTCATCCTCATCCTCCTCCTCCTCGCTCTCTGTCCCCTCGTCCTCTTCCTCCTCCTCCTGAAGCTCCCTGGACATCTGAATATCGTCAGCCTCCTCAGCCTCCTCATCCTCCTCATCATCCATCTCACCGCCTTCCTCCTCGCTCTCACTGTCCTCCACAAGAGCCCTCCCTTCCACATCCTCCTCTTCCTCCTCCTCTTCCGCGCCCTCCATCTCCCCAGCCTCCTCCTCCTCATCATCATCCTCCACGTCTAGGCCCTCTACCAGCACTCTGCCTTCCTCGCCGTCAGTGCCCTCCTCATCCTCCTCGCCCCCCTCCACTCCCTCATCCTCCTCTCCCTCTACAAGCATCCTTCCCTCCTCGCTCTCCTCGCCCTTCTTCTCGTCCTCGTCAGCCAGCTTGCGTGGAAACTCAATCCCTTCCTCCTCATCCCCCTCTTCATCCTCAACCTCCTCCTCCTCGTCACTCTCCATCCCCTCCTCCTCCTCCTCCTCCTCCTGAAGCTCCCTGGGCATCTCAAGTCCGTCAGCCTCATCACCCCCCTCGTCCGCGTCACCATCCATTCCACCTGCTTCCTCCTCGCTCTCGCTGTCCTCCACAAGAGCTCTCCCCTCCTCCTCCGCCTCCTCCGCCTCCTCCACATCCTCGCCCTCCATCTCCTCATCTTCGTCCTCCACTTCCGCCAGCACTCTGCCCTCTTCCTCCTCATCCGCCTCCTCACCCGCCATCTCCCCGCCCTCCGCCTCTTCCTCCTCCTCCACGTCTCCGCTCTCCACCAGCATCCTGCCTTCCGCTCCCTCAATCTCCTCCTCCTCCTCCTCGCCATCGTCCACCTCCTCATCCTCCTCCTCCTCTCCCTCTGCAAGCATCCTTCCCTCCTCGCCCTCCTCGCTTTCCTCGCTCTCCTCCTCCTCCTCGCCCACCTCGCTTGCCTCGCTTTCCTCCTCCCAGTCGCCCTCAGCCAGCATGCGCCCCTCTTCCTCCTCCTCCCTTCCCCCCTCACCCTCCGCCATCTCTCCCTCCATCTCTTCCGCCGCGCTCTCCTCCTCCCCGCCCTCCTCCGCCAGGCTCCTGCCCTCCGCGCGCTCCTCGACGTCCGCCTCCCCCTGCGCCTCCTCATCCCCCCAGCCGCCGTCCCCCAGCGCCCACCCGTCCGCCATCTCCTCCCCCTCGTCGCCCTCGCCCTCTTCGAGCGCCATGCGCGGCCCGCCGGTCACAAGGCCGGTCGCGTCGCTGCCGGTGGTCCACGCCGCGGGAGACGGGTCGCTGCCCATGGGATCATCGCTGCCGCCACTCCACGAGCCCGCAGCGCTCACCATCACCGACGCGGCCGGCGCGGCGAGCAGCGGCAGCAGGGTGGCGAGGAAGAGCAGCAGCAGCGGCGAGGGCGCGCGCGCGCCACGTGGGCGGGCCATGGTGGCGGCGGGAGGGCGAAATCGAGGAGCTGGTGCGACGCACGCTGGGGGCGACGGTTGCGCGAAGCTGGGAGCGCGTGGCGAGCTGAATGGATGCGGCTGGACGCTTCAAGTCACAAATCTCGATGAGCTTCTTCTCTCCTAATCTGGAGCTGCTCCTGGTGTGCGGGGTGGAGGAAAGCGAAAGATGATGCTTTTCTCAAGGCGGAACCACCTCCCTTTATGCGCACCACGATGACCGAGCGTGCCACGCCATGGACGCCGTGACGTTGCTTGCCGTGGCTCTGCCCGCCAGTTGCGGCGAGAGCGACGGTGAAGTCGCGCGGCGGCAGCGGTGTGCTTTGCCGCGATCATTGTTGGGTCGACGAGTGAGCTTCGCAGCGAAATGCCGCGCACACCCAGTTCCTGGTGATACCTCGACTGCTGAAGCCTGTCGCGTCGCTGGCGTACGTGCGTCGGGGGGAGTATGAAAATGATGGGATCAAGGGAGAGAGGAGGGCGGGGCGCGCAATTATGCATCAACTGCGCCAAGGTAAGGCTCCTACTAATTCGTACACAGGCTATGCATTGAAAGGGCGGAAATTATTATCGCGGGAAAGCGAGTAATGCGTCCCAGTCACAAGCAGACCAGATACCACTGAAAATACCTGAACACGGAATGTTACATTTTCTAACTTAATATGCTGTAGTGTTTTTCACAACACTGACTAGTTTATATCCTTCTTTACAGTTAACCAATTACCCTTATTTTACATAATTGCCCACCTGACAGAAAATACTTGCTCTTTTCGTTTATTATTGGTGTCGAGGTAAAGCAAAATTGATTCTGATACAATTCTGTAGTTGATTGTTTTAGGGGAGTACTTCTATATCGTAGAATCTTCGGCTTTGCAAGTAAACTTGGAGGACATGGTTGTTTTCGATGTTTCCACGGGCACCCAACTGTCTTCAGGGTGGTGACGGGCGTAATCGTTTGGCTTACCTTGAATGGGCCACTGAAGTTTGAACACGACGGGCGTGCGCATGTTCTTAGTGTCAAATAAAACGTAGTGTCCTGACTTATATGAAACGGGGCGGCGGTGGCGGTCGTCGTTCCTTTTAGTGGTGATATTTGATGTTTTAATCGCATCAGCTGCGAGTGTTCAGGCAGCCACCAAAGTCTCGGCAAATTGTTGTGCTCATGGTTGTCGGGTTGTCGGGACTTGGCGTCATGTCACTGTGGAATTCTGCCTATAGTTGAGGTAGAACAGCGATTGTTGCGTGGTTGCTGACATGGCGTTGTGGTAGGTGGACTAAATCAGCGGAACGTTTGCTCCCAGGTTGCGGGGTCGTCACACGTGGCACAAATCAACTGCTCCCTTGTATAATTCGTTCTCCCTGTAAGCCCGTCGGTTTCGGGGTGTTAAGACGAACTGAACTGTAGACGGGTCCCGAACTCGTACCATATGTTATTCCTAATTTGCTTATAAACTTCGTGTCCTTATCGCAGACTATTGCAATTGGTATCTTGTGCAGGCGGACAACGGCTGCGATGAACAGACAAGCGGTTTCCTCGACAGGGATCGATTACATGCACGCATCGATATGAGCCACTTTCGAGAGTCGGTCAACGCCAACCATGACCACATCGTTACCACCCGGGCTCGCAAGAACCCCCATGATGAAGTCAATTATTACTTGCTGGTAGGCGCGCAAGAATCAGCTCCTGTTGACCAGCTCTTTCTTTGCGCGAGCTTTTTATCACACGGTGATGTCTGTCGGTTACTAGCTCCGGCCAGTAATAAAACCGACGTTGTTGTTATCGAGTGATAAACCAACCCTAAACCTCAAATTGACCCGAGGCAATCCCGTCGTGTGCCTCTTGTAGGAACAATTCATGTAGCAGGGAGTACACTGGTACCCTTTTGCGGTTGGTGCAGATTTCTACGTAATAAACTCTCTTAGCTCCTGTCAGCTGCTGCAAAGTACCAGCGGTGAAAACAAGGGTCGGTGCGGTAGCCGTGGGTAAATAGTCCAGCTAGTAGCGGGTTTGTCTGGGCGACTAGGATGGCATGCAATTGGGCTGTGGGGCAGGTAAGAGCATGTGCGATGTTCGATGCACCCTTTTTGTACGTTACGGTGAGTAGAAATCAAACGTCACATAGTCCAGCTACCATATCTGTCACAGGTTGAGACCTCGTCGGGCGCAAAGGTACTGTAGTGAGCTATAGTCCGTCCATGCGGTCACTGTTAACGGGAATGGAGTGTTGGCCTCGCCCTCGCTTAGGCAACGCTGACGACTTGGTCAGATGTACGGGAGTCGCAGCCGACCGTTCACAGTGGGAGAGCTGCTCGACAGGCTTCGTCGAGCTGCAGGGGACTGCTGTGGTGTTGCTGTCGACCAGGGAGCTCGACAGCTGCAACTGACTGGTTTGGGCGACGGGTGGGCCGTCGACCAGGAGGGGCAGCTCGGCCCGGAGGTCTCCATTGACCTGCAGTCCGACTGAGAGGTCCCGGGAGCAGCTCGTCGACCTGCAGTTCGACCGGGAGGTCGATGGAGCAGTCCGTCGACCTGACAAGTGAGCAGCGGTCAACAAGGGGAGCTCGGCGTCTGTAGCTCGATGGGAGCTGTGGTCGACCAGAGGGACTTGGTGGTCGACCGGTGGGACCCGGTGGTCGACCAGAGGCAGTGGTGATCCACCGGAAGCATCTGGTGGTCGACCAGGTCGACCGGGAAACCTGCTCGACGAGTTCTGCAGAGGCACGCGAACGTCGTCGAGGTCGCGATGGCGCAGGCGACTGCGGGCTGGTATCCCGAAGTCGATGTGGCTCGTCAGGCGCAGACAACAGCCGATGGATGCCCAACGAGGCAAGTCGGGCCAATCGTCTGCGCGCACCTGCGAGTGTGCGCACTGCTGTGTTCTACGGGGCAACGCTGGACAGCCGCTTTGCAGCAGCGCTTGCACGCCGTCGACCTGCCCTGTTGGCAGGTTGCCTTTCAGCAGTGCTGGCGCGGCTCCTCTACGCAACGCTGGCAAGCGGTCGACCAAGCTGGCTGCATAGTTGCTAGGTGCCTAATGTAGTGATTGCTGTCATTACTTGTTTAATTTTTCTGTAATTTCGACTTTGCCTAGTGGAAACTCTTGCTGATTTCTCCCGTGAATGTGCAAGCATTAAGGAACTAAGCAAAGATACGATCACTCCTAGTAGTTCGTGTCAACCTCCGTAGTCTAGCTCACTACCGTTGTAGAGTGAATCTCCACATGGTGCGGTGAGCGTGGATCGAACACGGGACCTTCAGATAGGAGCCGACTTTTGTACCTACTAAGTCGTTCGTAGGCCGGCAGTAGCGATAGTCACCATGGTCGATTCCGTAGCTGATGCGGGTGTAGCGGACACCTTGGAGACACGCTTGGCTGATGCGAGGAAACGCCACGCGGATGGCGAGTACGGGACGATCCCCTTGCTGATCGTCGAATTGTGCATCCGGTCGCAGTGGGCGACGGAACACCCTTCCCGTCCTGCATCTCCTCGACCGGTGCGCAACGAAGGTGGCGTCGATGACGAGGTCGACGGTGGTGCATGAGTCAGCGGCAGCGAAGGCACAAGGCAGAGAGGGGTGATCAAGGTCGACGGTGGTGTCGACAGAATCCAGGCGCGAGTGCAGCGGTCGACGGCGGCTGCAGGCAGCTCGCGTGCCAACGTCGATGTTCGACGTCGCTCTCCTCTACGAAGCGGTGGAAGGCTCTCGACGACGACACGTGTGACGGCGGGCAGGATTGCACCGGCGTATGGCTATTTCAATTTCTCGTCGGACCGGATCACCGTCGCACCACTGCAAGGTCGACGGGACCTCATCATCTGGAGGGAGTCAATCGAACCTCAACTGGAGGTCGCCGGGCTGAAGGGCTTTGCCGATGGCACCGTGCCCATTCCGCCCGAGGAGGATGTCGAGCTGCGCGGGGAGTTTCGTGCAGCTCATCTGCTCACCTTCATGGTCATCTCGAGGTGCTGCTCGCCGGCGGTGCCGCTAGCGCTCAGGAGCTGTCGGGAGCGACTGGATGCTGGTCATTAGGCATGGCACTTCATCATGTCGACGTGCCAGGCCAGGGACGATCTGTACATCGGACAGCTGGAGGAGAAGATGACTTACATTCGGATGGGTGAGCAGGAGTCGGCGACGGACTACTGCAACCGAGCTCGACGGATCTTGGCTGAGATGAGGATGGCGGGCGCCGAATACTCGACGGTGCCCTACATCACCCACGTCCTCAAGGGCCTGCCGCGCAGCTACAACCTCATGAAGAGGTTTACGATGGTGACCGGCACACGTGAGTCCCTCGACGAGGACTCCCTTACCAGCTTTATCCTTCAGGATGAGGCGATGTAGGAGGCAGAGTAGCCCACGGAGTTCCTTCCGCAGGCGAGTTACGTTGCACCGACGAAGCCGAATCGTCAGCAGGAGCAGCGCGGGAAGCCGGACGGAGGTGGTAGCGGAGGTGGGTGGTCGACAAAGAACGTCGACGAGAAGCGGTCGACGCGGGACAAGGGTCGACGAGGTGGTGGTCGACGACGGGAGTGCTAGATCTGCGGCGAACTCGAACATCTCTTCTTCGAGTGCCCCGACCGCGATGATAGCGACGAGGACGACAGCAAGGGAGGCCGCGGTCGATCGGCCAGTCGTTGCCCTCGTCGAGATGCGAAGCCGCGCAAGGAGAAGCTGATGTCGAAGAAGACATCGTCGACGAAGGACGTCGACACCTCCAGCGGCAAGGGCCGAGGAGACGGAGAGGCGTCGTGCTCGATGGTCGGCGTGGTGGAGCCGACTGTCTCGCTGGCACCGGAGGATGGCGAGGACTTCCAGGCGGTGGCGGCAACTGTGCAGGCCAACCCGATGGCGGTGCTGCTCGACAGCGTGTGCTCCC